GTTCAAATAGACACAATAATTCTGTGATGGACCGGGAGTTGTTCACGGTGTAGTTTCTGTAGTGGATGATCTTCTATATTTCACAAAAGTCGGGGTAAAGGTGCAGGAGACTTGATTTTTCTGAGCAAAAAGTGCAGATTTTTGTCCAGGACCGACGATATGTCGCTATAGAACTATAGAAGCAGACTTTAGGGGTACATATTATAACTCTTCACTATACGTTAGAAAAAAGTTCTAACAATCGGTGCTTTCTTTATTGTTTATGGTTGTTTTACACCTATTCGCATTTTTAAAATAACTCACACAAACTGTCTTAAGACAACCGTGTGAAAATGAACACTTCAATAAATTCATCAACTACAACATTTATTTAAAAAAAGGAACACGATGTAAGTGTCATTCAAGACAGTGAATGAGATGTCAAAGTAAGTGTTCCGATGAGAAAATTTGACAAAGTATGCGGCAACATTTATTGTATTTATTCAGCGTCCGTAAATAAGTAAGGTCTATGTACACGTTTATTAGCACTTCAGTCTTTGATAGCAGTTACGCTGTACCTGAGGCTAATTTAACTGAATTTCAGGCGCATATTTGCTATAAATAATTACGTCAGTCGTATACTGGTTTGTATACGTATACAATTAGTATGTAATGCAAATGAACATTTTTATCCTTTTAATTTAATAGTATGTAACATTAATTATTGAAATATGCAGTAAAGAAGGAGTAAGTTTATAACAATAAAAATACGATCAATACTTTCAATAATAATTGCATAAATAGACTTTGAAATATTTTGTAAGGAAGACTGATTCCGCATTCCCACCCTACATTCTGAAGGAAATGAGTATGAACTTAATTTGTGATTAATTTTATGCGATAGCGATGCTTTTGACTTTGGCGGTAATATAATATACCAAATTTGTATTTAACGCCTAACATTAGCGCGTAACGTTATGACATTTTTTACACGGTTCGTTAGTCTTCTAATCAAGTAGTAGCTAATAATATATAATTAATATTGAAACCGAGTTAATAACCTTTTCATGCTCCAAAATACAATCAATCAAAATCTTATTACGCGCAAGCTACTCGAGTAGCAGTAAAAATAAAAGAATATTTTTTAAATATAATACTTTACTATTAGATTGGGTGGTCTTTCATCACCAGACTTTGATCAAATATACCGCATTTAAAAGATAGAGCGAGTTATCACTTTGATCTCTAATCTATTACTCTATATCTTCAGTTTCAAGTTGGATCCGTAATATGAGCCGAGCCGAATAACGCGTCTAATGATTTTTAACGTTAATAATATCGCAAACAAATATTTCCAATTTATCTCGAGTCAATTATTTCCAATAAAAGGGCGGTCACACTTCCAATTGCACTTTGAACAGAAAAAGTCGTAAACAGCGATTTCATTCAAAGTTAAAAACCTAGTTAATTATTTATTCCGAAAAAACGGTTTTTGAGAGGCCTTCATTTGCTAATCGCTTTTGTAAAGATTTCACGTTGAATCTGTCCAACCAAATTGTGTATACTCTCACATCTTTTCAAAAAAATTTACCAGAGATACCATCCGTACACTTGCGCATCCGCGTTCTACCCAAAAGCTTTTTGTCTAAGAATATGTGTACCAAATTTCGTCCCAATCGGATCATCCGTTTAGCCGGAAATCAGAGTACGCCAGTACAGACAGACTGACAGACCGACATCATCGAGATTTTGTTTGATTCGGATTTCTGGTGCTTCAAAACGTATATTTCCGTCAAAAAAGTGAGGGGTCATTTTTTACTACAATTCAATCTCTTAGTATCGTGCGGGTGGTAAAAGTGAGTCACTGAAACCTGAAACAATAAGTGTCATTTACTAATGACTTTATTGTTGATGAAAGTTGGCATCGTCATGATGGAGTAGAAATTCCCCTATTCGGATTCGTTGTATCTATTATCTCGATGAAAAATTGTAATATTATGGGACCTATATTACTAATATAGGTCCCATCAGCATTCACGGCCCCACGATTTTGTAAAGAAATAGATACATTAGTCATATGTCCAGTAAACTCGAAAAATTCCCTGGTAATTAGTGCGGCAAAAGAGAATCAGATTAATTCGCAATCAACAATGGTCAATTTCATTAATAAAGCGAAAAGCGCAATGAAAAAAGAAAGGTGGAAATTAATCTGGAGATTCTTGTAGGCATTCGGTTTTGAGTCGGCGGTGGCGTAGCGTTCAGTGCGAGATTTTAAAACATATTCGAAATAAGTCGCTCTGCTAAATATTAATATTCATTATTATCAGGTTCAAATAGTGCAAGGGACATTACGTTAATTATATCATTACACAACAATGTCGTAGCAAAATAATAGTATAAAGTATCATTGAGACAATGTCAAGTGTAAATATTCAACAATCTTGCTCTTTGATGAATTAATCCAAGTTGGTTGCAGTCAAAGTTAAAAACAGTTTAGGATACCTAAGCAGGTGGCAAAAAATTCTAAGAAAGGGTGAAATCTACAAAATGGTACTCATCATCATCATGGCGCAATAAAATCCTTCTCTTAAGAGTAGGATGCAAAATTGCCTTGTAGGACAAATTCAATATTACAACAAAAGTATGGGCTCTCGTTCGGGATTTCCTCGCCTATAGTTGAAAGTCGAGAACAGTCCCAGCATTGAGTGTAGTAACTCATTTGGTTACAGTTTGTTACCATCCCTGTGACTGTCCCTTCAAGGCGAAAATGTTGGTTTACAAACACGTCAGTACCCAAACAATTCAAACTTCCACAAATTTAAATGAATGACCAAAGATATACATTTACCTTGGGGCCAAGACCATGTAATCAAAACGTAAACATAAATTAGGAAAAAATTACACCAAAAATGTAAACATTTTCAATTAAAAGATTAACGGTGTAACCAAATATTATGCATTTACGTTAAATCAAGTCATTTTCAAAAACCAAGATGAAAAGTTATTAAAAAAAATAAAATGTTGCATAATGCAGAGATTACTATCTGCATTAAAACAAAAATAACAACAAACTTATACCACACGATTCTTTCGTGATCGCCATTAAAAACAAGATGCCAAAGGTAACCAATGGTCGTGCTCTCCGTGTAAGAAAATATAAAAGTGATGACATCAAAATTACATTTGTAAACATGCTGAGTATGTGTCATAAAATTCATCCGTTAGATGTCGCTCTTCATTAATCGCTTCTTAATTCCCTACCTGTGTTGTGCTTCTCCTTATCCATATGAAAGTGTGACTTCAGAGATTAATTCCTTTATCTCTTGTCGAGCAAAAACCAGAACTAGCTTCAATACAAAGCACTATTACATCCCCGATTAGAAACCCAGGAGTCGTTTAATTTATTTCCGTTTTGTTTTCATTCCCCGAGAGCTTTCCTTTTTATTTCATTATTATTTTCCAGCCCTGTTAATTTGATAACCAGTTTCATTTTGCCGTCTTACTCACTTGTGTTGCTGGTGTCGTTAATCCTTGTAGGATTAAAACCTTGCGAGCTTTACGCTACCTACAGCACCGGTCTCATGCGTCTATGCACTCGGTTGATAGATCACACTTGAACCCAAGTATCATCATCTCGTACTTGCCGTTCAATTCAACTGACTTTGAGGAGGAGTTCTTTGAACTCAGTGGAAGTTTTTTTAAAGTGCCGATCTTATTTGGGAACCATCGACGCAATATTTTTTTTATGTTTTATTTGATTTTATTTATTTATCCCTCTCTTGTTCTGGGCCCTCAACAGGCTTGCGCTCAATTACAGAGTGACCCGCATTATGCTTTTTAGAGGTGCCTTTGCAGATGTTAAGTTGTTCTATACTACTCCGGTATTTACCTTACTGCAGGAAAACCTAACTCGGAGTAGCCGACAGAATGCTCGAAACGGGTCTAAGGTATTTTTCCATCTCTGCCACAGGTGAAAAATTCACCTCAACCCAGGTTCCAACACTCGACCTCCGGATTTATAACTGAACGCTCTACGCCATAAAGCCGTGTTTTCCGTTTAAGTACACTAGGGTTTGGGTTATATGCATTTGCGTCAGGGTCCAGTAAAGACCTGAAATTGTTGAGGAGAAAGCTTCCTGTAATTCCTATGGATGCACTAGGGGGCCTGTGCCTGTATTTAATATCTATAATTCCAGCTAGTTAGCCCACGTTCCGAAAACAAAATATACGAGAAAATTCGTTTATTTAGACACCATTCAATTTGACAGCAACAACCCGTGGAGGTGTCTCCACACCCAGTCCAATGATGGTGGCTCCGGTTCACCAAGGGAGCCATCAACAGTTGCATAACAAATTTGTTATAATTTTTTGTATTTAATTGAACAGTCTTAAATTGGGGGTGGTTTTTATTATCAGTCAGCGGTCCTCTTCTGGATAAATAATGAGTCAATATCTCAATAATCGTTATTAAATTATGAAACGGTTCTTATTTTCTTTGCTGCAATAGAATAACATATTAGTAAATGGGGTTGAGGCGAAATAACTCTAAAGTAAATGGTTAAACGACCTTCATTTGCAAAAACACGCTTCGCATTGATACAAAATGGGCAACGTTATTCTCAATAGTTTGTAATTATACAAATGCACTAAGCCACTAGTTCAAATACACAACCAGACAAACAACAACAAATGGAACGACCGTCGGATAGCGGCAACATTACAACGCGATAAAACAATTGTTTATAAAAATACTTTTATGGGTTGTGCACTAGGAGTTTTAGATGCGTTCTGGTCACGGTTTTCAATCACTTTACACTCATATTTATATACATCTACTATTACCGCAAGTGCAGATATAAATAACGTCTGGAAAAAGATCAAAGCCATCAACGGAAAATATAAAAGTCAAATAATACACTCTATAGAAATATCCCCAGATGTTATTACGGAAGACCCAGTCGATATTGCAAATGCGTTGGCCAACCAATTCGCAAGAGCAAGTAGCTCTGCGAACTATCCCCTCGTTTTCTCCAACGTGAAAAATGAAAGAGAAGCGGAGCTATTCTTTGAAGCAACCAGTGATCTAGAATATAACGCGTCATTTATTATCGAAGAACTCGAGTTTGCTCTCAAACGATGCAAAAGGACAGCGCCTGGGCATGATTTGATACCCTATGAAATGCTGCTTAATCTCACACCTGAAATTAAAACAAGCGTTCTACAATTATACAATAAACTTTGGCATGAAGGTACTTACCCAGAAGATTGGAAAGAGGCAGTTGTTGTACCGATTCTCAAGCCTAGCAAAAATCCACTGAGTCCGGCCAGCTACCGTCCAATCAGCCTCACATGCTGTATGGGAAAACTATGGGAGAGGATGATTAATAACAGACTGCAATGGTACCTGGAAAAACACAATGCACTAGTTCCATATCAGGCTGGGTTTAGAAGGCACAGATCTACAACTGATCACCTGATCCTACTCGAGCATGCGATTCAGGAAACTTTCCGTGAGAGAAAACACCTGATCGCTGTCTTTTTCGATATAAAGGCAGCATATGATATGACATGGAGACATGGCATACTAAAAAAACTGTTTAATCTAAATTTTAGAGGAAACCTGCCCCTGTTAATAAAGTCGTTCTTAAGTCACAGACGTTTTCGGGTCAGAATTGGAGACACATTTTCTGAGACCAAAATGCTCGAAAATGGAGTCCCGCAAGGATCTACCCTGAGCTGCACCTTGTTTGCTCTGGCAATTAATGATATTGCATCGAATGTCTCCATAGATTGCTCCAAATGCCTATACGTCGATGACATCGCCCTGTTCTGCTCGGGTAAAACTGTTGGAGAAATAACCCGTAAACTCCAACCCGCGATAGATCAAATAACTACGAATGGAAATAGTATCGGCCTGAGCTTCTCTAGAGAGAAAACTCAATGTGTACACTTTTGCAGATTACGTAAACCGCACTATGACCCCGTATTATTCTTGTCAGGCGATCCAATCAGATGTCTTCGTACCGCAAAGTTCCTGGGCCTTACACTCGATGATTCCCTTACCTGGGAACCGCACCTAAAACAGTTAAAAAAAAATGCCTCCAAAGTCTCAATATAATTAAGGTACTGGCGCACACCAAGTGGGGTGCAGAAACAAAATGCCTCATAAGAATATACCAGGCTGTGATTTTGTCGAAAATTGACTACGGCTGCATAGTGTATTCGTCCGCGCGTAAATCGACACTTGCAACCTTGAACAGCATACATAACACAGCCATAAGGTACTGTCTTGGAGCTTTTCCTACCAGTCCGACGAACAGCTTATATTGTGAGTCGGGAGTACCGCCCTTGGACACTGAAGAAAACAACTAATTGCAAGCTATATGACTAAAATTTCATCATTGCCACTACATCCTAATAGGGTGATACTCAACATAGACATGCAGTTGTACAGACTGAAACCTACCATTACCCGCCCTGCCTGTATCAGATTCCAGGAACATCTCGAGCAACGCCGAATAGTCCCTCCAGCGCCGCTCCATGAAATGATGCTGGACACTGTCCCGTGGAAGGTACCTGAAATAAAAATAAGAAAAGATCTAATGCGCTACAAAAAAGAGATTACAAAACAACCCACTTACCTGCAGGCATACGAGAACCTCCTTAACGAATATCCCTCATACCAACCTGTGTACACGGATGGGTCCAAGAACGCGTATGGGGTGGGAAGTGCTATAGTCACCGAGGGCGTAGCATACGAGTGGAGCTTGAATACAAACTCTTCGCCCATCTTTGCAGAGCAGTATGCCCTATGGCAGGCTGTGCTATACTGTTCAATGATGGAAAACAACCGATTTTTAGTTGTTACGGACTGTATGAATCTCCTAAATGGGCTAAAGAAAATCTACAACACAGATCCGATGAACATCATGCTACAGTCTGCTATACATCGTATTTCGGAGCAAGGTAAATCACTCGAATTTATTTGGGTCCCTAGCCACGTTGGTATCTTTGGCAACGAACAAGCAGACCAGGCCGCTCGTAGAGCGATATCGAACCAGCAGACAGATGTAAATTTCATGGTGGCAAGTGACATCAGAAGACACCTAAAAGAGCAATATGTTGCAGAATGGCAAGAAAAATGGGCACAGGTAAATACTCACCTGTCGCAGATAAAACCTATTCCAACGACACTATACACGCTACAAGATGCTTCGAGAGAGGACAACGTGAAAATGCACCGTCTGAGGATAGGACACACTAAGGTCACACACGAACATCTGCTAAAGAATACTGTACCACGACAATGTAATCACTGCAATACGGCCATCACGGTTACTCATATTATAAGCCATTGCCCACTATACAATAACGAGCGATTGATAAACGGTATACTGCCCAACTACATCGACAATTTTATAAACCCTGAAAATGCAATGAAGATGGTGAGATTTTTGAAAATGATTAATATATACGCTGATATATAATATGCTTAGTGAATTAAAGGGGATATGACCTTAGTAGTTGAACCCTACAAAAAAAAAAAAAAAAAAAAAAAAAAAAACTATCTGATTCAATAAACGCTTTCTCTTACAATAATGAATGACTTCAATACTTAACTCCGCGATACTATAGGCTTTTTGTCATTCAACATTCGGTTACCACAGACGTATTTAACTCGCTCTTATTTAATTATAATGACCCGCTTCATTTAACTCATCCCGAATATACAATCTTGTTACACGTGACACTTGGCGGTTTCAAATTTAAGGGTGATCTGTTTACCTTTTGGAGGGTGGGCATTTGAAACGATGCCGTGATTTAATCCAGTGTTACTGTAGTATGAAGTTACCGTAAAATTTGGGGGTGAAGTACACTACGCATTCAATTCAATGTTCTGCTTCTTAACTCACTTTTTCGTGCCCCCAGTTTCTTTCGATACAGTTTGGTCACGATGCAGCTCTCTTCAATCCTGGACGAGGCGTGATTGGCAGACTGATACACAATAAGTGTAGCCACGGGAGGCCTGCAAGTGTAAGTTTTGTACATTAACATACCTATCTGCTTTTGAGCCACGCTGTATAATCTATATTTAGCATCATAAACGCGACGATCTCGACAGGATATCGGCTAAGTGGATAAATTACGACAAAAAAATCACCAATAAAATATAATTAGCGCTTATTATGTCGTGTAGCTCAATTTTGTACTGGTAGTAGCAGTTTAAGTCAAACGTTATAAAACTTTTATAGATAGAAACTAATTCCTGCTGGGATAACCACCGTCAAATCTAATATGTGGGTACTAAGCGTAATGGAGTCAATAAATATCGCGGTACAACAACTATAGTATAATATCCAACCTATCCGGACACCTTATATTGCATCGATAAATTACTGGCTAAATTGAAGTAATTAAATAAGACTAAGGACAATTCTTGACACTTGTCGTTAGCTCGAAGTCGTTTAAAATATTCAAGTTTGCATTACATTTTAGGTGGTTAGTATTCATTGCTCTAGAATTTTGCATGTGTTCCAGAAGTAAGGAATTTGCGCCTGAGGAAGGATAATTTTATTGAGAATACGATGTCGCAAAGCCAGCCGATATTGCTAACCAAGCGTTCTGAATAAAAAAACGTTAGCTTAGCTGGATCGTAGCAGTTAAATGAAGACACAATTCATTTGAAACGGCCTCGTAAACTCTCCAGTAAATAAAAACAAATAAAATTGTTAATTTAGATTTGAGTGTATAAAAATCATGCAATAACGTTAAAAAAAAGTAAAGCATGTATATAAAGTATAAAACTAATGAACCCCTTTGGGATACTTTACATTTATATGAATTCAGAAATGATCTAATTAAAAGACGACACGGCCGTGCTAATTGCAAACTCGTACAATTATTGTCTACGAATATTTTAATATTGCAGAGAAGTTAGTACTCGTGTCAATATAAATAAAAATTTTGATCAGTCATAATTTATGACTAGACTTATTTACGATTTATTTCGTACCGAATTACACCGCACAATAAAAACAGGTATAAGGGGCTTTCAGATGGACGAGCGAGAACCTGGGTAGTTGTGAAAGTCAAATTACAAAAGGGCAATTATAATTGGTCTTAATTTATGAGGATGTAATTCGCACTCTTTGCAATTCCTCTACAAAATTATTGCGGTATATGTAATTACCGAGGAAGGAATTTCACCTTAAAACCGCCTGCAAGTGGAATGCGTAAATGTCGCAAAGCATTCGGCGCGGCGGCGTCAGATTTTGGTAAATTGAATTATTAAGATCATTAACTCGGGCTATCCAATTATATGAATTGGAAGGTGGGTGGTTAATCTAAAATCTATTACCATTTAAATTAGAATGATTTGTGGTTGATTGGAGGTATTCAACTTAAAAAGTTGTCTTTTTAAACGAGATAATGTTAAATCTGGAAATAACCACACTAAATCGGTCTTCTGTCTCCATCGTTTAGCGTAAACTATATTTTGTTGTGGGAGAATGGTGGTCGCACTTCCCACATTACATACTTCAAATTCGTCCAAAGAAGTCTAACCTGTAGATAAAACTCAGACACAAAAAATAACATTTCCTTTTAATTTATCCAACAGCATACGTAGAATACGTGAGTGCCAACCTCTCTTCACTACTTCGTGTTTATGCAAATTTTAGATAGAGAAAGCATTGTGTTTAATACAAGTTGCTTACAAATGACACCCCCTCCTGATTTTTTCTTCATCTGCCTAAACTTGTGTAGAAAATTTACCATTTGTATATCAGCCCCCCTCCTCCTCACTTATTGGGGTAAGGAAGCTCTCCTTAGCACCACCCCCTTGGATTCTGGAGTGAAATTTAGGTAGAACTGTTATATATTTTGTACATTTAGTTGCACCCGGAAACATTTTACCCCCAAGATATTTCTCATTCTGGACTTTTTACTCCCACTTGGACATTTCGCTTCCAAGGAGTTTCGCACTTTGAACATTTCACGCCCTGGACACTTCGTTCCGAATATGTAATTTGCACTCGTTCATTTCGCACCTTAATATTCGCTCCCGGACAATTCGCACGGATAATTCCCTCCGGAAGAATCGAAAGTGTAATGTTCACCAACGCACTTCGCGTTCGCTCCCTGAACATTTCCAGTAGTGGTCAATTTTGTGACTGCATATTTAGCATTAGGAGCACTCGCAATGGACTTCAGCGAGTGTGTCACATTCACATAAGCAAAAATAAGCAAAAAGGGAAATGCAGTAATAGAAAACCGGATAGGCGCCACTTTAAATGTCAAAAGAGACGAGAGAATACTTACTAAAAGGGGGAAACAAAGCAGACTAAGAGGTCCTTGTTCATAACATAAACAATAATTGACGTCACAGTCAAATTCAAAGGTAATTGAATAAATAATAAAAATATTACAAATAGGACACTAATAATATATAGATCTGCAATGTTAATATTTGAATTCAGTCAGAGAAAATATTAGTATCAAATAGGCTTCCGCAGAAAACAACGAGGCTCCAACTGTTAAATGAATCTCAAGCAAATGGAATAATTACAATTTGATTTTATCGAAAACCAGTATTTAATCAAAAGTTAAATCAAGCAGTCGTTGAATATATCCAAATTTACCTTTGAATCCTGGTTGTAGCGGCCGTCTGCATTCAGTAGGGCGGGTTTTGCAAATCTGTAGCAGACAATAACACAACAAACAAATAAAAGGGGTAGTGAATCGCGCTGCAGATAAAATATTGGGTAATAGCAATGTCAACGCCTGATACAGAGGCAATTGGATATTAAAACTGTAATTAATAATCAGAAAGAATCAATAAATCGAATGATTTTACAACAACTGTCTATAATCGCATAAACGCGACGCTAATTTCAACAAAAATTCCTTTCGATGGACAAATAACTAAATTTCTATTGATTTAATCAATTCAAAACAGTTAAAATTCTGAAACAAATATCGAAATCTCCAGATATATATTATAACCTTCGATGTAAGTCATGTAGGTAGAGTCAGCTGTTTAGTTTCACTGAAATGGAGGGAATTCTGCCAAGTTGGTAATGTAGAAACATCCACCGCGTCGAAACGGTATTCCAAAAGAAATAATGATGAAACCTTAAGAGAAAAGTTTGAGGAGAGACTTGAGCATTGAGTGAAGGTAAACCGCGAAGTCAGAAAAGTAATGGCGTTACCAAGAGAAATTTGCATCTAATCAATGCACAAGGACACGAAGAAGTACAGCGAATGCGTAAGACCAAATTAAAGGAAAAGAGATATAGCATTAAGTGCAGAAAGTCACAAAGCGTGCACTCTAGCAACAGGGCAAAGAAGTAGGTAAAAGAACTCTCTTCCATAATCCTTTCAAAATCTTCTGTTTCTACGTCCCTTCGCCAGCATGTGCGCAATGCATGCGTTGAGTGAGAAAAAGAAGCGCAACTTGATTAATTTAGATAAGGCTTATTCAGGTACCGACATATGGATACGTCACTTGTTAACAGGCACCAAAATGTGTCAGTACCTCAGCAACTTCGTAAAAAGTAGTCGATTTCCACAGTAGTATCAGTAGTATATAATAATACTCATCCTCCCGCCTTCTACACCCTGTGTGTCTGCAGGCAAATATTCATTTTGACTTTTCGATTGTAAAGTTTTCACATGTCTGGATTTTCACTTTTAGTAGGTGCTGTTAAGGTTTGTTTGAGAACAACTTCGTTCGACCCAACATATTGTTTAGGGAACGGTGCTGTTCTACGCCCTCCAGCGTGTGAAGGTGTTGAGTAACTTCTCTAAATACATTTTACAGTGTGGTGGTTTCGTGAGTATGGTTTGGTTTCGGAGGAAGGTTTTTCCAAATTGGCGTCCGAAGTTTTGCGTAATATTTCAACTAATAGAGATTGGGGGTGGTATTTTTTCTCGGCAGATATCATTAAATCTTTAAGTATTATCTCTTATGGCGAATAACGGAATGGTATGTGAGTTCCCGAATTAGTTGGGTCGAGTCTGAGCACTTAACTCATTGTGGAGGATATAATTGAATTAGGTGGATACGTGAGTGAACAGCCATTTTCCAATGCCTTTTAACATTGTACGTTTTAATGACTACTGTTAGTTTTCATATGGAGTTTGAACCATTTTACTTCTAAATCGTTGGTGTATTCTTATGAGTTTCTTAATAATCCAATTCACATTCACGATTAATTTCAAATTCGAGCTTTAATCATCCTTAGTTCATTACAAGTTTTCCGCCACCTACCCGGTATATTTCATTTCGGAAAGCAGACGTATTTTCAAGGACAACACTTTATCTGCAATAACCTGCAATAAACAACACATGAGACTGAGATAATCAATTAGGTTAAATTTTCTTTTGGGAAATCAATCGAGTTGTAGTTTGTAATTCGCTTTTAAAGTATCCGTCGTTTTAATTACCGACTATATTTTCTCGGGTTTGTTTCTTTTCTTTGTTTTACATTGAATTGGTGGAGGCAC